ATATAATACATTCTAAAAATATGAATTTTGTCAGAAGCACCGAATAAATAACAGTAATTTTTTTTAAACTAAAAAACAAAGTAAAAATTATCTTGCCTAAAAAAAAACAAAATCAAAATTCCATTTGTTTTATAAGGTGTTTAAGTGCGTAAGTAACAATTAAAAAAAAAAACATAAAACAATTTTAAAAAGTGATGTAAAATAATTATTATGACTAAACAAATTCAAATTCAAAAACTCGTAAACATTACAAGTTTTATTTTCTTAAAAGGTTACAAATTGGTTTGGACGTTTTTAGGGAAAAAAAGATAATTTTATCAGTGTGAACTCATGAGACTCAATAATTTTTGTCATAAATATATCTCTGGACAAACAGAATATTGTTTTATTTAAAAATTAAATTTCGTCGCCAAAAGCAATGAATAATGAGTAAACTATGATATTTTAGAATAAGTGTAAGAATGTATGGAACGTTTTCTAATACGATTTGCACAAATGCATGTAAAAACTAGATAGTTTGAAAAATACCCGAATGCACTGTAATTATAATTAAGCAGTGTTGACACTGGTTACATATTGTAGAGGAATTTGTTATTGTAACTCTAATATAAGGCAGTTGAATATTCCAGAACGCTGCAGAATAACCTGAATGGATTTCAGTGCTTCACAACTAAATTCTGAGTAGAAACAATGTCAGCATGAGAAGTTCAAAAGATGAAAAAATGAAAGCCTGTCATAAATTTTAGAGGAGCCTTTAAATATAAGATTTTTTAAATGATTAAAAATATAGACCCTTTTGGTCTCTTATTTTTTTTAATTCATTAGAAATGATAATTCAGTGGCCGGCGCTTAAAACGACATAACGTCGGCCTAAGATGCAAATAGCCTAACGCTTAAAATATAAATTTTTCAGGAAAGACAAACAATCTTTCAGACCTAACCTTAATTTTTGGCGCGAATATTTAAAATAGGCAGTTAAAAGGATCTAAGTATATATACCTTGTAAAGTAATAAAAATAAGGTACAAAAAACATATATAATAATACAAGGGTAACCGCGAATGACAAAACGTCATAATTAAACATAAACAGTCAAATTTTGTAATATAAAACAGTTAAAATATGTCTACATATTTTTTTAATTTTTACAAGACCAAATCTCCTAAAAAGATCGTCGATTTGGATTCTAAAAATCCTTATTGATGTGTCCCAAAATTTCCCAGTGCCATTCTCCAAAAATGTGTAATATTTATTACTTTTTAAGCGCCGACCACAGATTTATGAGACACCACATTTGAAGCGCTCAATTTTAACTCTTAGAATTAATTAAATAAATTAAAATACCGAAATAAGGTAGAATTAAAAAATATTATACAAAATATTAAACAAACAAAAAGGAAGACCGAGAACAATTTGTATATGTAGCTACAGAAAAGAGGAATATTAAATAGGAGGAAATATTTATAGTATTCTAATATGTACGAAAATAACGCAAGATTGTCAAATAAAAAGAATCCCTAACAGTAAGGCCATTGTACGAATTCGAAGATAAACTGATTATCTAGAAATTCAATTTAGATATCCTGTTATTATAAGCAGCATACAGATTGGAAATAATTCGTATAAATTAGATGCAACTGAATTTTTAGAGCGACGAATCTTAAAAAAAATGATTTCAATATAATTCTGATTCATTGTAAACGCACTGATAAAAATACCTTTCAATGGCAATATTCAGCCTTTCAATATCGAAGGGAAGTCCAAAATTAGGATCTACTATACACATTTCAACAAGACATATCATCTGTATCTAAGCTCTAATTTTCGTACCACTAAAAATCAGTGACGAAGAAAACATCTAAAAAAAAACGTTCAACGCTGATTAAATTACTTTATATTTTGATTTGCGCCAAAAAATATATAACAGTCTTAATTAAAAAAATACCTAAAAATTAGTTAGTAAGAAGCAGGTGTTAATGTTTAACAAAATGCGTTTTTTTTTTCACAAACCTTGAGAGTAATTTCAAACATCACAAACGTTCCCTACGAGTTTATCGTAAATAGCTCAACTAACGGTTTCAAAAGTTCCAGATCGATCCACATTGAGAGTTGACAGGAGTAGAAATCGACAATTATGACAGATGTCACTATTATTGTCATTGTAACTGAGCTACAGAACTTTTTGAATTAGGCATTCCGACTTATCAAACAATACCTACCAGTGGGAAGGTATCGTATATCTAAGAGGGTAGCGACATAGTCTTGCATCTTGGACTATATTTTTATTTGAAATATCAGTCGCCAAGCCTGTCAATTTTTTAAAAAATGTATAAGCTGTTTTTTTAAATAATATATTTATTTAGTTCGACATTAAATATTTAAATGTAACCCATTATTCATGATTTTACGTATTGTAGATAGAATACATCGTATGTCGCAACCGTTAGATATACCAAACCTTCCCACTGGTAATTCATATGTTTGGAATGCCTAATTGACTGACAGTTTTGCATTATTTCATTTTTTTTTAATGTGTATTGAGGTTGATGACTGAGCATTATTTCATTTTTTTTTTTAATATATCAGTGTGATTTCTAAACAAACTATTATCAAAAGAAAGTTAAAGACTATTGAAAATTTGTTGAGTTAAAATATTTATTAATAATATCGGGAACTTTTGGTGCCTGGTCTTACGAACAAAAATCGTAAATATGGGTGTTTTAATTTTTTCTAACAATATCCTAGGCAGTTGTGTTAATCGTGGGAGCTGTTTCCATGTTAGCGACGGCCTGCAAGAGTGCAGCGTTAGCATTGCAATCGGATGGAGTGATCATGGGCATTGCGGATGCACTTTGAAAGTTGATCTCTTCTAGATCCCGTTGTAATTGTGCCAATGGTGCGCATTGTTGAACCACCGTTTGAATGCTGTGTAGAACCTAAAAAAATCGCCATAATAATAAGGTTGCATACAGGTAAACTTGTTAAATAAATAAAAATGGGAGTAACTTTCAACAAAAAATTATAGGTTTTTTTATTATTAAATGTTGGTTAGACATTACACTTGTTGACGAAGTTTTTAGATTTTTAACAGTCCAGTAACATATCTACATGAGATAAATTTGTATTTAACTTTTTCTTAAAACAGTAGATAAAAAATTTTGATTTTAAAACATAGCAGCCATTACTACTTTATATTATGTAAAAAATTTTAGGAAAAAATATTAAGTTGAATACCTAACTGTCTAAACAGTTTTCTAGCCTTATACAATCTAGATTTGCCACCTAAATTTACAATCTAGATTCCCAACGTGGACCAACGCCCCACAGGGGGTAATTTGATTGTTAAGGGGGGCAATTAGAAAATGGACTGACTCGACACGAGTTTAACCCTTTCGCTCCGGGCCATTTAAATGCAATGCTAGATTTCGGTGCCAAATACTTTATTATTTTGTTTTGTTTTAGATATCCATGTGTATGGAGACTTCTGCAACTCTGTTTTTTCTCAGTGCTGTTTTTTCTAGCTGTTTCAGGAGATAAAACCATAACTAAAACGCGACATATCCTTGTAACAATTTCCCATTTCCGATCCCAAAACATCAAAATCCCTCAATAATACCGATTCGGTAAGGAGCGAGGGCTGCAATATTTACGAAACTAGAAGCCAAGAAAGGGTTTTATAGGTGGAAGCTTCCACCATGGTTCTAGGGCACGCACGAAAGGACGAAGACCCGGTAGTGTCGAATTATAATACTTTTTTATGACGTAGATATTTTAAAATTGTAAATAAAATTTTTCTAAACCAAAAACTTTTGCAATGGACATTGCAACTAAGCTGGACTGAAATAGATGGATAGATAGGTAAAAGGATAAAAAAGTGGTTCAGTACCAGAGTTGCCCAACCAATAAAATTTCAAAACAACTGGTGTTCGTATATGTTTAGGCAACTTAATAGAGCTTGAGAACATTAATGGATGAAAGAGACAGAAAAAATATGCTCGACTAAGTGGATTGCATGAACATTCATTAAAATTTAGTTGCCTGATAAAATTTGACAGATTAAGAATAAATAATTTAAAATTTTTGTAAAGCAGACAAAATCTTTCAATTTTACATATATAATACATAATATAAATAGAAAACAATAAATATAACAATTAAAATTTAATTGATCAGGGAAAATTGATTAGCTTAGTATGGACAATTAAGATCAAAATATAGGTATAATGTTTTTATATTAAATTCATTGTAGATATTAATTATTATTTTATGTGTTCTGTAAAAAATTACCTATATCTTGTGTAATAATAAGTCAATACTAGGGATTTTTAAAACAATATTTGTGATTTTTACTTTCCTATCTGTATACTGATACAGATAAGTAATTTTTGAAGGACTGATTATTACAAAAAACAAAAAAATACGTCAATTAATATTTGAAGGGGGAGATATCGTGCCATATTTAAGTTTGCTAAAAAAGTCACCCTTTCACCCCTACTATCATCCCTTCAATTTTTTTAAATGGCTTGCCCCATTTTTTTGTCCATTTTTGGATTGCTCTCGTTTAACTGATTTCAAAAATGTATAAAACATGGGGATTAAAGTAATTAGTTTACGATCTACAGAATTTTAAAATAAAATTGAATTGTGCAAAACTTTTATTTTAATGATTTTGTCACAAGCGTTTCCAATGACAAAACGAATATTTCATTTTCAAAATTTATTATAAAAATTGTTCAAAATGTCCACCATTTACTTCCATACAATGGTATAACCTAGATTGAAAAGCCTCCCTGACATTACCGAACACGTGTGCATTTAAATGTAGGCATTCATACTCTATTCTTTGTCGTAAATCTTCTAAAGATTCTGATTGGGTAGCATAAATTTTTGTTTTTAAATAACCCCATAAAAAGAAGTCTAGAGGTGATAAATCCGGTGATCTAGGTGGCCACTCCATCATCGAGCCTCTTCTACCTATCCAACGATTGGGGAAAGTTTCATTTAAAAATTGTCGTACTGGCAAAGCAAAATGTGGAGGCGCTCCATCCTGTTGAAAGACAAGCAAATCTTCTCCATCCTGTTGAAAGACAAGCAAATCTTCAGAAAGATTATGATCATTTTCTATTATTGTTGTAATACGTGGATCAATTACTTCTCTCAATAACTCAAGATATGACTCTCCATTTAAGTTTCCGTCTAAAAAGAAAGGTCCGACTATGTGGTCACCTAGGATACCACACCATACATTTAACTTTTGAGGATTCTGTGTGTGGTATTCACGCACAACATGTGGATCGCTCTCAGCCCAATATCTGCAATTATGTCTATTAACTAAACCATTAACTGAAAATGTGCATTCATCCGAAAAACAAAGGTTGTGCAACAAATGTGGATTGTCAGTCAAGCGCTGACTTAATAGTTCACAAAATTCAAGACGACGATCAAAATCATCTTCATACAACTCTTGAACCAATTTAATTTTGTATGGATGGTACTTATGCTTGTGTAATATTCGATAAACTGTGGAAGATGAAACACCTACTTCTCTGCTTATTGTTGTCAGTGACTGTGCTTGTTGATTTTCAAGACTTACTTGTCCTAAAACTGCGACTTCAATTGCTTCGTTATTTACGAGTTCCAGTCGGTTATGTTTTTTATTGCCAACGTTGAAAATTCTAGCAGCAGCTCGTGCAGAACTGTTATTTTTGTAGTATAAACCTACAAGTTCAATTCTTTCTTGTAAACTGTAAACCATTTTTAAATCAAATAAATAACCTCAACAAATCAATGTGCACATGTATCAAAATACACTATAAAAGTAATTTAAATTCATTTTTCAAATCTCCAATACCTTTACCATGTATCATAAAAAACTTCAACAAGTTTTTAGCGGTACGATTAAGGTATAGAGGGGTCTATTCTGTAACAATTCCTTTATATTTAACGGCCTTTAAAAATATTGGCGGCCTATAAAAATATGTTCGTATTCGTTAATTTACTTCTATCATTATTTAAACATATTTCTTTAAGATAGTCCTCTAATGTATTTTAAAGATCCGTTTAAATAGTGACCGAATTAAAGAAGAAAATATTTTTAAAGGCCGTTAAATATAAAGGAATTTTTACAGAATAGACCCCAATGTATTCTAAATCCAATTTTGCTGCAGTCAGTAAGGTGAGATGTAAAAATTTGTCACTCAAATAATGGAACCCTGTAGATCATAAACTAATTATTTTAAACCCCATGTTTTATACATTTTTGAAATCAGTTAAACGAGAACAATCCAAAAATTGATAAAAAAATGGGGGAAGCCATTTAAAAAAATTGAAGGGATGATAGTAGGGGTGAAAGGGTGACTTTTTCAGCAAACTTAAATATGGCACGATATCTCCCCCTTCGAATATTAATTGACGTATTTTTTTGTTTTTTGTAATAATCAGTCCTTCAAAAGTTACTTAAGGTGGATACTTTTATCTGAAAAGCACTGTATAAGGAAAGTATAGGAATCATGATTTTTTTCGACCTTGACTTTTCGACGGATTTTTACGTTTTGAGGTCCCCTGAATCCCTTTTGACTATTTTCGCGATGATGTATGTCTGTCTCTGATAGAGATGATTGTCGTTTTAAAACAGTGTGTAAAAAATTAGCAGCGTCACCCCGCCATTCTTTACGTGTGTAGTCGTTGCACAATTATTCGAGTCTCATATGTAGACTATTCGGATCGCTCGATCAAACAAATCTATTGTCTTATATAACTAACCTTTACCGATATAATTGATCATATCGGTGTATATCTGTGTGTTTCCCAAGAAATTCAAGTGTTGGATTCTACAGCTCAAGCAACAATATAACAATTATGTCTTCGAGTCGCTACAGGAACTGGTAAGCAATTTTGTGTCGCTTTATTTTCAAGGGAACTTAAATTTTCGTGGTTCGCTAGAACAAAATCGTGTTTCTTACTTAGAACAAAACAGACTAATTTCTGAACGTTGTTGGAACAGGTCTATAATAACTCTAAACTAAACCAATTCTTGTTTGTAGATCCATGCTACTTCAGTTTGAGTCGTTGAGTCGTTACAACTTTATGTTTAATTGAAAATAATTTGAATATAAACTCCAAATTGAATGATTTTGATTTAAAATTTGTGTCAACAATTCTCATAAAACGCTTTTGATTTCCATAGACACAATAAAATCTCGTTTCTTGATCAATTAGATTTCGTTTACTTTTTGTTGTTAGCTTGATTTGTTAAAAAGTATAACAAGTTATCACTTACTTTGATAACCCCATATAACTGAAATGACAACATATGGCCAAGAGTGGAGAAAAACATACTAGAAAAAAAGAAAATGGAAAAATAAATTATTCACTTCATGGATGGATGAGGAGAGATCGTCCAAAAGTATAAATAGTCCAATCATTATAGTAAGTTCACCTCGGAATTCGAGATACCCAGCTGTAAATCTGTAAATACTTGTATATTGACACCCTAAAAGTTGTCTCAAAACCTACATATGGTAGGGTGTACGCATCTATTAAATTTCAAGGTCTTTTTTTGTAAATATCTCATTTCCTATGGGTTTTTTGCTATTTGTATTTATTATCAATATTGTAGAATACAAAATTCTCTAAAAATTTTGTTTAAAAAAATTTTTCATACGGTGAACCGTTTTCGAGATAGATGACGGAGAGCGCGCGGTCACAGCATCACTTCAGGTCAACCGGTGCCTCCGGTCGAAAACGCGCCATATATAGTTGATGAAATATCGATAAATCAATGATTATAAATATTTGTCAATTTTTATTAACTATTATATTATATTTTATCATTTTTTTCCTAACCTATCCACTTTTTATTTAGTATTAATTTATTTAACAACACTTACCTGCCCATGTAATTGCAAAATTGTTAATGAAAATATAGGAATTATAT